TGATTTTATGGACTTAATTTAGGGCCGAACTCAAATCTCCCACCAGCCCAAACTCCCATCACTGAGGGCAGTGAGTTCTGCCTTTACACTGCAGTGCCACACAGCAGTCAGAGCCATTTTCCAAAGAAAACTGCAACAAGACAAACTGGAATCCAAGAAACATCCACCATCTGACTCTAACACCTCATAGTAAAAATGACATTTTCGGTCTGACCCTGCTTTGTTCATTTACACCACAGAGCTGCTCAGTGCTTGGGTTTAGTCCTACAGGTGTTTACGCCCTTCTCAGCACTCAACATCCAGAAAGCAGCTTCATCAGCTGGAAGGATCTGCCAAAAAATAAGTTGCAGCCCTCACAGACATCTCCCACCACCCCCTTCCCTTCCCTCAGGGCATGGGAGGGCAGCCAGCAACCCCTGCTATAATCTACCCAGAATCAAATTCCACCACACATTATAACCTAGAGTCCTGCAAGTCACATTTACAGGGCTAACTGCAGCCCTCTCCTCCAAGAAAAGAGAAGTAAACACAAACCTTGCCCATAATTTTTATTCAAATTGGATCTCAGGACTTTGCCCAAGCAATTAGAAGTTCCTCATGGTAGCTGCCCAGTGATGTTAAGAGCATTAATCACAAAGGCAAGAATCATGAATGCAAGTAAAAATAGCACAGGTTCTGCACACAGCTTTTTTTAAGCTTCACACCTACTCAGAACGATCTCTTGATCAGTTGTCAAGAACTGCTTCATTTGGGGATTTTTGTATGCCTTTTTATTGCTATTTAATTTTAGAACAAACGCTTCTGATTCATAAAAGCGGAGTAACTGTGAACACACTCTCCAAACCTTCTCTAGAATGCTTTGTTTGCAACAGGCCAATCTCAAAATAAACTTTTTCGTGAGTTTTTAAATGTCAGAGAGTCTTCTGCTCACATCACTTAAACCTCCTGCACCGCAACCCAAACATTTTTAATCCTGGTAGGAGTGATACATAACATACAGAAAACAAATCTAATATAAATCTTCTGGCAGGAAACCCGTAGGATGGATTGGAGCGATTTCATCAGAGATAACTATCACACAAAGATCAACAGATGGGTTGAAACAATGAGATTCAAGTACTGACGAGGTACCACCAGCCACTCTAATCCCAAAATAACTGCTTCCAAGGACCAGCACGTTACAGCAATAGAACAAACTCAGTGTTTCATCAAATCGTAGCATCACCAAGATCATCCAGCCCAACTGTCCAGCTACCACCAGCATTCCCTCACAAAACCACATCCCTCAGTACAACATCCAACTGTTTCTTGAACACCTCCAGGGACGGTGACTCCACCACCTCCCTGGGCAGCCCATTCCAGCATCTGACCACTCTTTCTTTGCTGTTTTGCAATTAGCATTACTGTTCATAACAGCAGCGGCGCTCTGTTTTCAGCACTGAGTGATGACACCCTCTGCACTGTCCACACACACAGTAATAAAAGACTCCAACATCTCCATCAGTCTCAGGTGATCTGAAATGTGCCCCCCCCTGGCTCCCATGTCATTTTCTCACAGAGGGCAGATGTGGCACTGATGGACATAGTTTAGTGGGCACGGTGGTGATGGGTTGGAATAGATGATCCTTGTGGTCTTTTCCAACCTTAATGGTTCTACAATTCTCTGTGCAGCTTCAGAAATGCACCTCCAGCTCCTTCTCTACATTTTAGCTACGTGCCTCAATTCCTGGTGCTTTCTCAAATCCTTTCCTTTATCACTTGGACACAAGCAGGCACCAGCTAAATCCTTCAGCCACCAGCACCACCTGAGGTCCCCACTTCCCACATCAACATGAATTTAGCCAGCAAAAAGCCAATGAATAAACAAGACAGCACCTTCTCTGCCATCAGGATACCACCACACCCCCCCTGCTGCACTCTCCTATTATGCTAGCATCTCAATGGCTGCAAACAGCGACCTGAAAAAGTGACTCAAAATACATATGTGTACTGAGTGGATCAGAAGCACACTTGGAGTAGCACAAGCCACAGCGGGAAAAAATATCCGTAGACTAAACAGCTGACACTTGCAATGTTTATTCTATTTCTAGTAACACTAGCATAAAGTTTTAATAAATGTTTCATTAAATCATCAGCTGTCTGTCCAGCCAATTATCACTCATAATCACAGCTATGTACTGCCTTCTACAGATGGTCTTACAGCTGTGTTACACTCCACCTCTGCAGAATCCTTTAGAACATCTGTTGAATATCTGTGTTTTCTCAGCTTGCTTATAATGCATCTACTATTCCGTTCCCCTAAAAATCGGTAAAGATGAATTTCCTTGTGACTTACAATCTACTAGTTGCCTGATGGCTCTTTGCTGTATCTATTTAAATAGCTTTTAGATTTTCTCTTAGTAACAGATTACACTGAGCCTCCATCTTATCGGAGGAGTTATCAGGATCTAATCCCTTATAAGCACTGAAGTTATTAGAGTTGTGAGACTATTTTCCTTCCTTCCATAATCTGTTGTAGAGGGAAAAAAAAAAATAAGTGGGGGGAAGCCACTTGCACCCTTGCTCCCCTGATCTATGGTCCTAAACCCAAGGAGCTTCCTTACCCACTGCCCTGGCAAGAAGCTGAGAATGGAGGTTGCACACCAACATGGATGGGGTGCAGGCTGCACCAGAGCAATGCTATGCAAAGCAAAGTGTTCCCCTCAGAAAGTGCAGTTTGCAAAGGGAAACGCCATTTTAAGTTGTTTTTTCTTTAGTTTTGTTTCTTTCCTTTAATAAGCAGAATCCTTCAAGGCAAACAAATTTAAAAGAAAAAGAAAAGGGGGAGGTGGAATGCAGCAATACCCCAGGGTAAAGATGAGTTACCTCACCCAAAAATCAGTGCTCACGGGGATGGGAAGATGAAGGAACTGCTTCCCATTTTGCAATGGCTCCATCCCTTCCCACCCCAGAGAAAATCCCACCACTCTACCAGTGCTCCTGGATTTTGCAACTTCAGCCCCACTGCCTTCCAGGCAGCTCTGCCTATGATGAAAGCTATTTTTGGATAGTTTGGTAACAGATAACAATCCTTCTCCCTCCTTTTCCCCTTTGCCATCTCTGCCCTATGAGCTTAGTGCTTCCCTGAGCAACACAACCTGGTTCAGGCAGGGGATGGAGGCTGGAAAGGGGAGAGAAAATGGCATGGGGAGATGCAGCAGAGCCCTGTGGGAAGGCAAAAACGCAACCTGCACGATAAGGTGGGCAAACACCACCTCCACTCTCCAGCACAGTGGGTTTCTGAAGAACATCCCCAAAAGGTGCAAGAGCATCTTCCTCCCTGGCTCTCCACTGTTCCTCCGCCCCTGCCTGGGCACTGAGATGCTGGAGCTTCCCATCACCTCCCACAGCTGCAAAACATCGATGTTCCAAAGTTAACATCTTGCAGCGACAAAACAGCAATCCCTGAGCAGCAGTAAAACACTCCCTGCACTGGAACAAGGAAGTTTCTCCCAAGACAACCTCACTCCTCCACTCCCCTGAAAAATGCATTTGCAAAAGGCAGCGGGAAGGGCACAAACAACTCCCTGCAAACTCCTCGCCAACTCTCATTTTGCTTTGCAAAAGCTGCGATTCGCCTCCCCTCCATCACTGCGGGCTTTTGAGGGTCTTTCTGTAGAAGAGATGCTCGTTGCAACACTTACTTGTCAGCCCAAATTTCAGTGCACAGCAATTTCAGAGCATTTTTGCTCAACAGCAGAGGGGAAAAGAAGCACATCCCCGTTGATTGTCTAGGAAAGGTTTGACAGCTCCACCAGGACATCTCATCCCACGACACGTCTACTGCTAATGCAAAATAAACCACCGCTACGTCTCTCGGCGTTTTTTTTTTTCCTCCCTCTTTCGTGGCATGTCTGCAATTTTGGCATCCGAAAGCAAACCGGCCACGCTCCGAAGTCTGGGTGCTCCTTCTCGTGGTTTCCTCCCAGCACACACAAACCCCCGTACTTTTCCCACCCCTAAGTCCTGCAGAGGGGGACCCCGAGGACGGAGCCCATCCCTCTGCCTCCGCACTGGATTCCCCAGCGCACCTCTCCGAACAACAAAAGAGAGTTGAAGCAAACGTGTGGCACCTCGCTTCCCCCTTTTACCCCCCAACCCCCCCCAAAATGTTTATTTTCAGCTTTTAAAAGACACCTTAATCCGCCATGTTGAGCCGACAAGCTTTATAAATATTCATTTACCGCAGTTCGGGAGCGCTACGGGGAAATATGTAGCGATCAGGGCTGCACATTTTGGCACAGCCGATTGCTTTCTTTTCTTTCTTTTCTTTTTCTTCCCCGTTATTTGAGGCAGCTCGGCTCCCCCCCTCCCCCCTCTTTTGCAGATTCAGAAGAAAGGCACTCGCACACCCAAAATAACTCTTTCCGAGGCATGCAATCATCAGCCTAGTAAATGTAAAAGGAGGTCGCGTGAGAACGTAGCAGGGAAGCACCATGAAGACAGATGGTAGTTTAAAGAGGAAAAACAAAACGAGAGAGAGGAAAAGCAAAAGAAAAAAAAAAAAAGAAAGAAAGAAAGAAAGAAAAAAAAAGAAGAAGAAGAAAGAGAAAGAACTAAGCGCATCTACAGCACGACAGGGAAAAGAAAGAAAGAAAGAAGGAAGGAAAGAAAGCTCCGCACGCCCGCGGTGGATCGCGCTCGCGGTGCCGCGGAAGGACGGCAGCGGGGAGCGGCAGCCGCAGCCCCGAGCGCAGGTACCGAGCGGCACGGCCGGGGCTGCGCCCCAGCGGCCCCGCAAACACTTCACAACAACTCCACCGCGAGCACAATTCCACGCCCCGCTGCCATCTCCCCTCCGCTTTTTTCTTTTTTTTTTTCTTAAAAAAAAAAAAAAAATTAATAAACCTTGGAAAAGAAGCGGCTCCCTCCACCTCCTCCCCCACAAAAATAATAACAAATAAAATAAAGAGAAATGCCAGCAGGGAGAGTGCAAAGGAGCCGCAGGGTGCGGCGCTTACCTGAGCAAGTTTGGGATTTATTTTTTTAGTTATTTTTTTTTCCGCTGCGCGGAGCCGACCCGTCCCTCCGCCCGCACCCGCGGCAGACTCATTCCAATATGGCATCCGCGCAGTGCGCATGCCTGCCGCTCTTTTTAGGGCTTTTTTTTTTTTTTTTTTTTAGCAGCCAACTCCTTCAGTGACCTTTTTCAGCAGTTTCAAAAAATAAAATAAAATAGAACTTAAAAATAAATCCGCGCATCCTCCCCCTATGGCAGTCAGCATCAGCGCGGTGCCGCCGGGGCGGCGGTGCGGGGCAGCGCGGTCTCTCCGTGCGCGCAATTTTGAGCGAGAAAATGCCGAAAAGCCATCGGAGCTTCCAGCGTAGTGGGAAATTTGCACTGATTTTTCCCTCCCCACACCTCCCCGCAATCTTTTCGCTTGGGTTTGGTGGCTGATTTTGTCTGGCAAAGAAACTTTCGGGGAGGATGGGGATACAGCGATATGGGGAAAAGCACCGCGGCTCCTTCAGTCCCTGTCCTGACACCCCCTGGCTCCTGTACTGCCGTATTATCTGCTTATTCCCCATTGTTGGAAAGAAAAAAAAAGGCACGAAACAACACCAGGCAGGCGAGGAACAAGACAAGATGCGAAATCAACTGGTGCGTACCCTCCCAGCGCGCAGCACACGCACAACTTTCCCGTTATCGTTTGCATCTTAGATCATTCTCTTTTATTTTTCCTTTAGTGCCTGCAGATGAACGGCAGTATCGCGACGTGCGGATGTGCTGGTGAGGGGGTGTTTGCACGTTCAGCCACACTGCGGATTTTTTTAGGATTTGTTTTTTTTTTTTTTTCTTTTCTTTCTTCCAAGCTGCTGAAATCGTCCCCGACGCAGCGCTGGAAACCGCGCCGCGCCCCTCGCACCGATTGGTTCCGCTTCCCTGTGGGGTGCTTGAAAAATCCCCAGGGGGATTAAAACCCCCCTCTGCACCCGGGATTATTTGGGATGCCCCAATTGGTGGTACCCGGCCATCTCCAGAGCTTCCCCTACACAAGTTTGCTCAGCAGCTGAGGTGTTCGCAGGAATTTTGCTACCTGCCTTGCAGCCCTGCCTAAAAGCTGAGCAATGCTCATCTGCTGGGGATTTTTGGACACTTTTTAACCCTTTTTCCTGCAGCATTCCTGATAGGGCTGAGGATGCAGGGCACCTTTGGAGCATTTCCTGGGATCCGTGTATGCATTCATCAGGAGAGCAGAAGGAAGGGGTTTCCTTGCTTCTGGGCTTTGTTCTTTCTGCAGGGAGGGTGTTCTGACACCCTCACATGGTGAGGACATGTCAAAGCAGTGGCAGTGATTCAGAATCATAGAATGGCCTAGGTTGAAAAGGACTACAATGATCATCTAGTTTCAACCCCATGCTATGTGCAGGGTCGTCAGTCACCACACCAGGCTGCCCAGAGCCACAACCACCCTGGCCTTGAATCCCTCCAGGGATGGAGCATCCACTTTTCCCACAGTTAACCCCAGCTCTCCTCCATCCCATTGCAATCACCATCATCCTTTCACTGATCGTTGCCCAGAACTCAATGCTGAGCCTCCATCAACCCTTCTCCTTTCCCTTCCACCATTCCATATCCTTTTTCTCACACCTCTCATAGGTACATCAGCACACCATGGTGTGTTTGTGCCTCAAAACAAGTGAGGCAATAGAGATGAAGGGGATGCATTCATGGAGAAAAGAGCAAATGCTTCAGACCGTGCATTTCTTCGCCACATTCTTGCCATTTGTGGTCCATCTCCAAAAGGTCATGGCTTGGCTCCTCTTGCTCCAGCAGAGTTGCTGTGAAATAAACACTTCAAGCAATTCGTATTTTTCAGGCTTACAGGTTGTATGGGATTTCAAAATAGAAAAGAAATCCTGTCAGAGCTTCAAGATATGACAAAAACTCCAACAGATGCCGGGAAAGCACTGAAGTCCTATTTCTCCAGATGATCGTGGAAGTGGTTGACATTTTCAGCACGGTGACATTTCATATTTTCAGCATATTTGTGAGTGGAAGATGCCCTGCAAACATGATACCTGTGTTCTTGCTCCTTTTAACCTGCTCTAAATTAGGTTACCCTGAGGCTTCTTTCACTTTGGCATATTTCAGTGTGGCTAAGGTTGTGGCATGTTCTGACACTGCTGTCATCCAAGCTAGGGACACACCAGCAGTTCTCACTGCATGAAGTTTTTTTCCAGCTCCCTTCCATTAGATGCATTTGTGCTTTATTCTCATTCCCATTTAGAATCATAGAATCACAGAATCATAGAATTGTTTGAGTTGGAAGGAACCCTTAAAGGTCATCTGGTCCATCTCCCCTGCAATGAACAGTGACACCTCCAGTTACATCAGGTTGCTCAGAATCCCATTCAGCCTGATCCTGCTTGTCTCCAAGGATGGGGCATCCATAAATCTCATTTAAGGGCTCTTATGTTCCTCTGATCTCTCTGGAGTTTCTTCCTCCCTCTCGGCCCTCTCTTATTTTCACTTAGAGACCATTTCTGAGCAGCTGACAGCATGTACATAGAGATGTAAAAGAAAGCATTATCCTTGTGCAAGGAATTTATTATCTAAATTAGCTTGGCGGAAGGTGTCTAAAATAAAATCAAGGCTGAGGGAGAAAATCCCTCCAAATTTTTTTCCAAGTGGCTGTTTCTGTAAAACTTAGAGATACAAATGTCAGGTCTGATCTGTAGATGACTGTAACGACTCCTGCTGGTGGCTGAGACGTTGGGTCTTGCTCATAGCTGGGAATACAAATTGGTTTAGTGGACATAAAGTACAGCAATATCTGAGTGATTTCATTTTAGTTCTACCTTCTAAAGCATTACTGGGAAAAAGAAACTACTCAGAGAAATACTGAGTTGCCCCAGCCTAGTACTCCATGATTCTGTGATAGTATCCCAAGATTTAAAATAGGTTTAATCCCTGGTGAAAAATCACACCAAGCTTAGCTGCTTAGTTTTAGTCTCAGTAGCACTGTGTTCTCAAGGGTATATCTTCAACTATTAAGTTACATAAACTTTGCTGCTATTAATGCTGCAGTGTCACACCTGTTGGCAGCCACCTAACACCCAAACTTGTATTTCAAGTTGAGAAAAGAAGTTTCTCAATATTTTTTTGATTGATGTTTTTAAGAAAAATGCTTTTATGTAAATAGGACTCATAAAAGATTTACCTGAGCACCAAGTACTCAAGTTATGATTATCATCTAACTGCCCATATTCACCTCCCCAGAATGTTCAAGTTGTCCATAGCTGAGGAAGAGAAACATGTACAACCCAGTGGAATTCACAATCTCATTGTTTCAAATTAGGAATCAGTGGTTTCTGAGCTCCAGAATAGGTTATCAACACAAAAAAGTGCATCCACTTCCCAACCTGGAATCTGTAGCAGGTCTAGGCTTTAGAGGACAGGTGGGGATGTAAAGAGACTCCCCTCCAAAAAGGGATGCAAGAACATGTGCACACAAATGTTATGGCATTAACACTCCCAATTTCTCTCTTTAGGAAAGATAAGTGCCCTGGAGGAGAGCCATCAGTAGGATTTATAGAGGGATGTGCATCTTGGCATCCTTTCCTGTCCCTGATTTCACCAGGTGCCTGAAGGACTCAGGCTGTCCCACAGTCTTAACAGAGTGCTGAGATGATGCATGTATTTGTGCACAGTGTGTAGGCTTTTCACAAACATGATGGTTGGACTGGATGATTTTAGTGATCTTTTTCCAACCTTAATGATTCTATTATACTATAAATCAATGCATTAGTCTGGTAGGTGGTACAAATTGTGGAGTGTGATACCACATAAAATAGAAAAACTCCAGCTTTAGCAGTTCAGCTGTGATATACACCATCATATGGGGCAGAAGTTATTTAACAATAGCCAGGTTTGTATCTGGGGGAGTTTGGGGAGGTAGTGGACTGCTCTAGAATGTTGCCATTGAGTTACAGTGAGGGGAGGCAAAGATGTGTAGCCCACAGTGATGAATTAATTGGGGATGATTAGCGGTGTCAAACCTGAGCTGTTGGACTAGATGATCTTAGTGGTCTTTTTGAAGTTAAACGATTCTGTGATTCTATGAAGCATGGAGACACTGCCCAGCAGGATCTTGGTGTCAGTGGAGATCCACATCTGTTCAGCCCATCCTCATCATCACATGCATCTTCTGCCATAGATATCTCCTTTCTGCAGGACTGCTGTTGGGTTCATGATGGAGCAGCTCTCCATTGGGACTTGGAACTGGATGATTCTTAAGGTCTTTTCCAATCTAAGCCATTCTACAATTCTGTGATTTCCACCCCTCCATGCCTTCAGATTTAAGTTTTACAACATTCAACCCACTATACCCTCTATCTCTTCAATGCAAAAGGCATCTCAAGGCTGTCACTTCATGCTAGCTGATGTCAATGTTGTGTTGGGGATTGCTATGTCTTACATACACCTTTGTCTCCATTTTATTCATTGGCTTCAATTCGGAGAAGTGATCCCTGTTAGCAGACGCCGGGATGCTCTAAGCCTAGTTTCGCAGTGCCATCTTCTGGAGAATAATATTACATTTCAACTGCATTTTGCGGACACCCTTTTCTCCTGATTTACTGTTGAACGTAAGGTGCTTTGAAGGAAAGTGAAATCACTTCAGATCGCCACAGCTGGTATCATCTAAGGAAGAGATTAGCATAAATGTGGTTAGTCCGAAATTTAAACTCTCTCTTTATGCTTCACAGCAAAAGTTTCAGGCACCATGAGCTACAGTGAGATTCTTGGCTGGGAATTTGTAATATGTTCTCCTTGGAATGAGAAAGAATGAGGTTTATACCTCCCAGCACTTTGCTCCACTTTATTGACAGCATCAGACAGGTCTGTGGTGGTTGCAAAACTACACATCTAGTCTCTACTTCAAAGCAAAAGCAGTCTTTCTTGCATCTTACTGGCCAAATTTTATTTATTTTTGTATTGCTATGTAGGGGCTGTGGCTGCTCAGCAGAAAGACAAAGACTAGTTTTAACATTAATTGGAAAAGCTGAGCCAGTGCATCATGTCTGCAGCTGAAGACTGCTTAGAAAATG